TCGAAGCGGCTATAAATGTTCTAAGTTACGAAGCTCCAGGTTGTAGGGTGAGATACAGGCCTTGCCCTGGGCCTTTATTTTTTAAAAAAATCAACATTTTAAAAAAAATGTAGGCACTGTGGTTTACAACTTGGTCTATAATATGGTTTCAGGCAACGATATTCCAACTCCAGTCCTGCCCAGGGTCAACCTCCCTCCACCAGCGTCTGGTTCCTGCCCACGCCCAGCCTGGCCCGACAGGGGCGTCTTAAAGTTTAATTTCTGTGATTTGGGTTTCCTGCCTGCAGAATGAAGGCGCTGTGAGGCAGACAGACAGACAGACAGACAGACAGACAGACAGACAGACAGACCTCACCTCTCATATAATACACACCCCCCTGTGCCCTGCCCGGGCCCTGCCCCTGTTACCTCTCACCCCCCTCTCCTTCCTTCCCTCCTGAATTTTTCTTCCTTCCACATCACTCGCATTTCTGTCACCTAGAGATATGGGGTTTTCCCACCTTTTTTAAATTTTTAAAAAATTTTATAAAGTAGTTCACAATATTTGATTACATTCACTATTCCAAGACCAATCCCACCACCATGCCACCTTCCTACCACCATATTTCGGCTATTTCCATCCCAAACCCCAATCCCTGCCCCAAAGCAGAAATGAAATAATATATTCTGTATTGTTTATTATGAAAATCTGCTGAGAATGCTAGAAAAAAAATGTACTCTTAGAGGAAAGAGGGTGAGGATTGTTGTATTTCACCCAGGGGCCACTAAGCCCTTCTGTAAGAGATCACTAACATGTTGTTAAGGTTGAGCCTTGTGTTTTATATATATATATATATATATATATATATATATATATAAAGCAATGTATATTTCCTTCTAAGATTGGTTGCCTCTTATTTTGACCCCTGTCAAATGTGGTGCAGTAATCCTGGAGTATGGGTAGAGTATTTGGTTTGAAGTATCGCATGACCACGAATGTGGCCGTGTGGTCCAGGAAGAGATGCACTTGTGGATGAGGCTGGGTTCCCTGAACTGTTATTCTTTTTGTGTGGGGAATAAACCAGAGATGCTCAGGTACCACCCTTGGTAACACTTGGGGACCGTAGGGGATGCTGGGGGTTGAACCTGTGCTCTCTCCGGCTCCATTATTCTATACACTGACCCTTCCCCTGCTCTCCCCACCCCCCATTATTCTATACACTGACCCGCCCCATTCTCTACAGTGCAGATGCATGAGAACTGTCCTTCTGTCCTTCTGCTTCTGACATACTCGGCACGATCTCCTCCGTCCAGCCGAGCAAGTGAGCTGCCTGCGTCCCTCACTGCTGGGAGGGGAGGAAACCAGAGACCAGGAACTGACATCTAGGCTCTACCCCAGAGGCAAGATGAGTGGCCGCTGCCCCTCCCCGTGACACCCAACACTGTCCAGAGGCTGTCACCAACACACCCCAGAGCCGGAACAGCAGACACCGCCTGGGACACCTCCCAAATCCGTATCCTCGCAGAGCTTCTAGAATGTTCTCAAGCAGAAGAAACACTGAACCTCTGAGTCTGGTGCTCCAGCCAGCAGAGCTGGGTGCTGAGGGGTCTCCTCGGGGGACAGCCGCAGTTGTCGCCGTGGGAGGAAGCTGACTGGGACTGGCTGTGAGTGCCCGGCCACCCGGCCGCAGGGAGGTCACCTTGTCTCGGCTGTGAGTGCCCAGCTGCCCGCTGCAGGGAGGCCGCCTCATGCCGCCTGGAGCTGAAAGAGCTGAAAGCAAAGAGCAAGAGGATGGCAAGTCCCCCCACCCCGCCCCGGGTCCCGCTCCCTGACCCCTGCTGTGCCTGTCTTCGTGCCAGACCCAGCAGCTGGGGCTGGGCTGGAGGGGAACCCACAGAGCTCACCTGCAGGCAGAGCGGGTGGGAACGAGGCACCGGCACTGGCACCGAGGGCTGCTCCCGCCGCCTGCTTGAGTCTGCCCATCTCTCCTAGGATCCAGATCACTCAGCGTGACAGAGGAGGAGACTCAAACCCCAGGACAGTAGAAAAGAGGGCCGGGAGAGCAGGCCCATGACTGGAAGCTGGCCGGGGGAGGGCAGATAGGACAGAGAAGGTACCACTGTGACAGCGACAGTTGGAATGAGCACTCTGACAAGAGCTGCGCTGAACGGAGGGACAGGGACAGACACGATGATCTCTCGGTACCTATGCTGCAAACCATAGTGCCCAGGAGAAGGAGGAAGAGAGGGAGAGGGAGGGAGGGAGGGAGAGAGGGAGGGAGGGAGGGAAGGAGGGAGAGAGAGAGAAGGAGGGAGAGAGGGGGAGGGAGAGAAAGAGAGGCAGAGAGAGGGAGGAGGAGGGAGACAGGGAGGGAGAAGGAGGGAGAGAGAGAGAGGGAGGGGGGGAAGAGACCCTGCCCTAGAGGCAGATGGGAGAGAGCGGGGAGACAGCAGGAGGGAAACTTGGAGCCTTGGGGGGAAATGGGCACTGGTGCAGGGAGGGGTGTTGGACACTGTATGACTCAGTTATGAACAACTCTGTAACTATGTAACTCATGGGGGGTGGTTTTAACACACACACACTTCCGGCCTGGCAGACAGCTGGAGCATGCGTGTGGGGGTGTGGGGGATGCTACTTCTTGCAACCTTTGGCAGATGCTACTGAGCGCATCTGGACAGCACCGGTGAGAGAGCCCTTAGAATCCATCCAACAGCAGGGAAGACGCTGGCCACTAAGGCTGCTGGCCGGAGTGCGCCCTCCAGTGGCCAGCTGCAGAAGGCACACCTGTGCCTGGCAGTGGTGGTCAGCGGGCTGCTGTGGTTGCCAGTCTGCAGGAGGCTGGTTGAGGTGGAGCTGCCCTGCCCTTTCAGGAGCGAGCCCGAGAATCTGCCAAAGGATGCAAGAGGTAACATCCCCCACACCCCAACACTCACACGCACGCACACACACACACACTCACACACACACTCAAATGCACACACACTCACACACGCGCACACACTCACACCATATACACAGACTCACACTCACACACAACACACATTCACACATGCACACCATATACACACACTCACATTCACACATACTCTCACACACATTCTCACACACTAGCACACAACACACACTCACACATGCTCTCACATGCACACACACCACACACACTCACCACACACACTTACACACATGCACACCATATACACACTCAGACACACCATATACACATTCAGACACCATATACACACTCACTCACACTCACACACCATATACACACACTCACACACACCATATACACACTCACACACTCACACACATTTTCACACACTCACACACAATACATACACACACTGATACACATACACACACCATATACACACACTTTCACACACTCACACACACACTCACTTGCACACACACTCATATACACGCATGCACACTGCACCAAGGAATCCACTTGGGGGAAGACTTTTTCTCTCTCCTTCCTATTATTGGTCAAAATTCAAACATTAGACTTTTTCCCCGGGGGCTGGAGCGATAGCACAGCAGGTTGGGCTTTTGCCTTGCACGCAGCCAACATGGCTGACCCGAGTTCTATTCCTCTGCCCCTCTCGGAGAGCCTGGCAAGCTACCGAGAGTATCTCGCCCCCACGGCAAAGCCTGGCAAGCTCCCTGTGACATGATGTATTTGATATACCAATCACAGTAACAAAGTCTACACAGTAACAACAAAGTCTCACGATGGAGGAGACGTTACTGGGCCCGCTCGAGAAAATCGATGAACAATGGGAGGACAGTGACAGGGATAGTGACAGACTTTTTCCCCATGGGGTGAAGCAAAAGTACCTAAGTATGTGATCACACATGGAAAAATAAGGCAGTTTTTCTATTTTCTAATTTTGTGTGAGTCTTTAACATTAATGCAGGGATATATATTATTAATGCACGTCAAAATGTCCCCATAAAACAGTTTCAGCAGTTTCTTTTGCTTGTTTGTTTGGTCAGTTGGTTTTGGGTCACACCCGGTGATGCTCAGGGTGACTCCTGGCTCTGCACTCAGGAATTCCTCCTGGTGGTGCTCAGGGCACCATATGGGGGGCCAGGGATCGAACCCAACATCAAACCCAATTGAACCTGCATGCAGGGCAAGCGCCCTACCCACTATACTATCTCTTCAGCCCAGTCTCAGCAGTTTCAACTTTATAACCATTTAAATAAATCTGTTAAATTTATCTGGACAACGCTAGTGTTAGGTTTGAATTATTTTTTTCTTTTGGGGTCACACCCGGCAATGCACAGGGGTTCCTCCTGGCTCTACACTCAGGGGTTACCCCTGGCGGTGCTCAGGGGACCATATGGGATGCTGGGTATCGAACCCGGGTCGGCCATGTGCAAGGCAAACGTCCTACCCACTGTGCTATTGCTCCAGCCCCTTGGATTATTTTTTTAAACAAGTAAATGTCTTATTGATATGCAAATATGTTTGTAGCATTTTATTATCAGTAGATTACATTCACACATAATTTTCTGAGTTGCTTGTAAGTACGTGAATTTATTTATTTATTTATATATTTATTTCAGACCATATCTGGCAGTGCTCGGGTGGGCTCAGGGGAGCGCATGGGATGCAGGGATGGAACCCAATGCCCTCCCTTCAGTGCTATGGCTCTGGCCCCAAGTACACAAGCCTGTGTACCTGTACACACACAAAACTCATTTACACATGAACAAGACACTGGATGCAAACCACACAGTTGTGCCTGTGCATAAACACATCCAGGCGCATGCATGCACACATGCACACTCATGTACATGCACACACATGCACACGCTCATGCGCACACACAAATGCACGCACACACACACACACACACACACACACACACACACTTCCGTGTCGTAGAAGCCAAGGCCCAGGAGCAGGTTTTAGGGGTCTTCTTTATTTGTAGAAACAGTGTGGAGCTGGTGGGAAGGGCAAGAAGCAGGAAGCAGGTTGCAACCTGGGGAGCAGGCGCACGGACGCGGGAGCGAACGGATGGACAGATGGTGGGCGGCTGGTTCCTCCCTGTGGCCACGACCTTCTAATAATGACAGTCTAGAAATGGAAGACAGTGCCACGGGTGAGGAGCCGAGGGCTGCACCCAGCGGTCCTGGGGGTCCCTGTGAGCCCCCCTGGGGAGGAAGCTGAGGGGTGTGGCCCCCAGGAGCACAGCACCCAGCACGCCCTAGAGAACCCGCTAGCTTGGGGGCGCTCCTTGCGGGTCAGGGACAGCACGCTGGGAAGTGACTGCGGGCCTTTGTTCCAGCACACTGGGAAGTGACTGCAGGCTGAGGATGCTGCCCAGGAGCGGCGGGGGACGGGGGCATCAGAGTGGCCTGGAGAGGGGCTGTTCTCTGCCGTACAGCCAACAGCATCACAGAGAGGGCAGGGGATGGGGGCTGTACAGGGAGGGGTGAGGGAGAGCTGGAGCAAGGAAGGGGTGCGGAGCTGTCGCCGGGGAAAACATTCTAGAGCCCCTTCTGATAAAGCAGTTGGTGAGTCGGGGGGGGGGGGGGCTTTGTCCCCGGAAGGGCTGGGGTCTCCAGGGGCACGAGGGGATGTGTCCCTTCTCCCGGCCCCCCCGAGGCCCCTGCGGGTGAGTTACCTTCCACGGAGATGGGGAAGAAGCACCAGGGCACGCCGGGGATGTCGTCTGAGAAACAGCACTTCCTATTGGCACACTCCTGGGGGCTGATGCCCGAAAAGCCACAGTCCCGGCGGGCGGACACGTCCATCACACACTCCTGCAACTCTGCCCCACAGGAAGGACACCAGGCCGGTCACCCCACATGCGGGCCATGGCCCCCGGCCCCCCACCCTGCTCGGGGCCTCTTCGAAGAGGACGCGCAGGCCTAGTGCACAGGATCAGTCCTGCACCGTGGTCATTTTGCCCCTTGCTGGTCTCCAGAAAGTGGGGTGGCCGCGGTCAGAGGCCGACAGGAAGTGGGGTGTCAGCCAGAGAGTAAAACGCACAAAACTTGCACTTAGAGGTGAGCCCAGGGGCTCCGTCTGACACAAGGCCAGAGAGGGCCGGGGATGGGGGCACCAACCCCACCATGTTTGGGCCACTTGCACCCTGTTCCAGGCATCCCGGGATGCAGGACTCCCTGGCATGTTCCATGCCTGATGCCCTTCACACGCGAACCCCTAGATCCCCCATCTCTGCTGCTGTCGACCCGCTCAGCCGTGCCCAGGCCATGCTCCTGCGGTGCTGCAGAGGGCCCCCTGCTGCGGCGGGTTACCCAGGCATTAGCTGACGGGGGTGTGGGTCCCGGGTCCCCCCAGGGCGTCACCTTGCTTCGGGAGGGGGTTGAAACACCAGGGCACGTTGGGGATGGAGGTATCGAAGCAGCAGCCGGCCGCGAAGCACTGCTCGCTGCTGATGCCCGGGAACCCGCAGTTTTCTCGCTTCTCGGGGTCCTTCCGCGAGCACTGGCAGGGGGCTGCAGGGGGAAAAGGGCTCTGTGGGGCTCCCCGGGGGACACCCCCTCTCCGCAGCGACACCCCAAGCCCCAGGACCCCCTCTAGCCCTCGCCCTCTCCGCTCTGCCCTTTCCTCAGGGTGAAGACAGGAATGAGACCCCAAACGGCGGCCCGGGCCTAGAGTGGGTGTCCCCGAGCGCCCCATCACTCACAAGGCTTCTGAGCCCCCGCCAGGACGCACAACGCCAGCAGGAGCGCCGCCACCAGGAGCCGGGTCGTGAGGGCTGCCATGTCGCGTCCTGCGCCCAGGGTCACTGTGGCCACCGCCGCCTGCGCAGCCTTATAAGCCGCCGTGTTTGCTCTGGTGCCAGATAACCTCTCCGGGGCCAGGAAAGTGGCGGCGATAGCTTGTCAGGAGAGAGGCGACGCCTGCCAGAGCGCGGGAGGACACTTCCGGTGCGCTGGCCCCTGTCTGCGGGCCGGGCTGTCCCCCCGCTTGGCCGGGCGGGAGCCGGCTGGTGCCAGGCCGCGACGTGGAAGGGGGCCATGTGCGTGGAGCTGCCATATCCGGGACTCGGAGCAAAGCCAAGCTCGCAGGAACTGGTGCTGGCGCAGGAACCAGCGACTGGGAGGAAGGGCAGAGAAGCCCCTCCTGCGAGGAGGGGACCCCCAGGGCCCCCCGGGGGGCTCCCAGGTGGCTCTGATGAGAGCACAGTGCCGGGCCCTGAGATGCTCAGGGTATAGGGTCAGGTTGGGGGATGGGGGCCGAGAGCAGCTGCAGCTGGGTTGGTGGGGGGATGCCTCCAAATGCCCTGAGGCTCTTGGCTGGCCCCAAGTCAGCACCCGCCCACCCAGGCAGCCCCCAAGAGCAGCAGCCATGAGCCCCCTCGGAGCCTTCGGGGGCATCCCGTGGCCTGTGGCCCAGTGAGTCTCAGCTGCCGCCTCCAGGGGCCCAGAGTGAACTGCGAGGCTGCGCCTCCCTGCACCCAGGGGTGTCTGTGGGGCCAGGCCTGTGGGCAGCCCCATACCCACCCTGCTGGCACCCCTACCTTCAGCACACCAGCCCCCCCCAACCCAACCCACTCACCTGACCCCTCCCAGACAGCCGCGCCCCATGCCAGCAGCACCTGTGGGTGCCCGACGCTCAGGCTCCCAACAGTGCTCCCTGGGAGGGTCCTCCCCACACCTGGAGGCCGTCCCCACCCTGCCCCCGGTCCCAACACCCACAGTCACCTACCTCAGGCCCTGTCTCCAGGCCTCCCTCACCCACTGCCCTCCCCGCCCCGCCCAGCCTGCAGTCCTGCTGCCCAAGGAGTGGTGAGAGTGGACGCTGTTCTTAGCACCAGGACACAGTCTGGGCACAGGTGGGCAGTCTGGGCACAGGAGGACAGTCCTGGGCACAGAAGGACAGTCTGGGCATGAGTGGACAGTCCTGGGCATAGGTGGACAGTCCTGGGTACAAGAGGATGGTCCGGGCGCCGTCCAGGCAGCGGCAGCCCCGCCTCCCCAGAGTGATCCTTCACACAGCAGTGCTCGCTGTCTGCCCACTGCCCAGAGACCTTCGGGCGAGACCGTGGCTCTGGTTGTGCTGGACCTGGGTGCTGCCCCCGGCCTGCAGTGTCCCTCTGCCCTGCCTGTTCCTGCCCGCTGCAGCCCTGAGCACTCAGATCTGAGGGGCCCCAGAGCCCCCCAGCACCTGCCCTCAGGAAGCGCCTGAGGCCCTGACCTCGCCCAAGGCTTTAGGAAGGACACGCCCTTCCCCCAGAACCCCAAGAGACCAGGGAAGGGCCTTCCCTCAGGGCGACTCTGGGCCCATGCAAGCCCTGCTCCCGCCTGGCCCGCCTCCTCCAGGCCCCCACACCCTGCTCACCCCACACACATACCCCTCACTTACGCGCCCCTGCTCATCACACATGCACCTGCTAACCCCACACGCTCCTGCTCACCCCACACACCCCTGCTCACCTCACATGCCCCTGTTCACTCCACACACGCACACCCCTGCTCACCCACACCCCCCCCGCCCACCCCACACACATACCCCTCACCTCACATGCCCCTGCTCACCATACATGCACCTGCTAACCCCACATGTCCCTGCTCACTCCACATGCCCCCGCTCACCTCACACACCCCTGCTCACCCCATATACCTCTGCTCACCCCACAGATCCCTGCTCACTCCACACACACGCCCCTGCTCACCCTATGCACCCCTGCTCACCACACACACACTCCTGCTACCCCAACACACCCCTGATCACCTCACACACACCCCCGCTCACTCCACATGCCCCTGCTCACAACACACACACAGCCCTGCTCACCTCTCACACACACACACCCGCTACCCCCACACATCCCTGCTCACCCATGCACACTCCTGCTCACCCTCACATGCCCCTGCTCAAACACACACACATTTCCACTCACCCCACATACCCCTGCTTACCCTCAGAGCCAGCCATACCTCCTGCCCATGCGGGGACCCCACGAACATCCCCCACACCTGCAGACTCCTGCGGGGCTGGCACACAGTGCCTCATAAGCTCTGCTCTGGCCGGATCCCGTGTGTGCAAGGCCACACACTCACACATTCCCATATACTCACACACTCACATTGAGACATGAAGACATACACACCTCACAGATGCATTCACACTCACATTTCTCACAACTCACACTCATGTTCTCACTCACCTACACTCACTCACACATTGTTGCACGGAGACAACACACAGACATATAGACACACACACTCCACGCACATAAACACACACATACTTGAGAGTGTTGAAGGAGAGGCCAGAGCAGGACACAGACAGGCAGATGAGGGCCCTGAGGACAGGCACCGGTGGCCAGAGAGCAGCAGCTGGACACTCGCTCCCTCTGCAGGCCCCTCTCGGGACCAGCCCGGGTGGTCAGGCCTGAAGCAGGGATACCACAAGGAGCAGGAAAGAGAAAATTCTCCTCTGGGCTCGGCCTCACCAGCTGAGAGCCCAGCTGCCTGTGGACAGGACGACTGGCCCCAGGGGCCAGTGGCCGGAAGACTCAGAAGCGCCCTGGTCGGATGCCCGGCTGCCGTCCTCTCTATGGCTGGGCTTGCCCCGTCCAAGGGCCTGAGTTTCTGGGACATCTCTGCAGTAGGCTTTCTCCAGGGCCTTCTCTGGGGGAGCAGCAGGGACGAGGGGTTACAGGGACCCCGGGCGTGTTCAGGCTAAAAGGCCCCAAGAGCTGCACACCCCATCTCGGCCAGGTGAAAGAGCGGCCCCTACTCTGAGGGCTGCCTTTGAAGGCGCCAGGAGGACCGAGATGACCCCACAGTCACCCCAGTCACTGTGACAAGGCGCGAAGGAGAGTGGGGGAGGGGGATGCCCGCACCCCACAAGCAGGGCCCAGGCCGGCCCAGAGGGCTCATGCCAGGGAATGTGGAGAAAGCTGGCCCCTGCCCTAGTGACCAGCTGCAGGCTCTCTGCCCTCTTGGCCCTACCCTAGTGACCAACCACAGGCCACTGCTACTTGGCCCTGCCCTAGTGACCAGCCACAGGCTCACTGCCAGCTTGGCCCCTGCCCTAGTGACTAGCACAGGCTCTCTGCCCTCTTGGCCCTGCCCTAGTGACCAACCACAGGCCACTGCCTACTTGGCCCTGCCCTAGTGACCAGCCATAGGCTCACTGCCCACTTGGCCCTGCCTATAGTGACTAGCCACAGGCCACTGCCCACTGGGACAGGAACCTGAGTGGTTGTCCAGGAACAAAAAAAAAAGTTGACTCACAGGGGTATGCCCCAGACAGATTTGAAGTTTATTGAACACCAAGGTCAGAGAAGTCCCCGAACAGCCCGCGCCTAGATGGGGAAGCCGATGACCCGCTGGTGACGCTGTCGGGGGTGACGATCTGGTCTCTGCCCAAGAAATGAGGGACAGGGAAGTATGAGGAGACTTGTCCATGAGGAGCACTGTCATTGTGTCACGTAGGTGCTCAGAGCACAGTACTCAGGAGAAACAGCAGGTCCACAACTCCCTTCCCTGTGGGGCCTGGCCCACCCCACACAGCCCCATGGGGCCTCACCCCAGCCTAGAACTCCTGAGCCCCTCATGCCTCTGCTGCTCCCAGCACCCAGAATAGTGCTCTGGGGTCTCCAGCTCCACTGTGCCACAAGGGGACGAGGTGAGGGGTCCAGGACTGTGCCCAGCACCTGTGGGCGGTACTGGGAGTAGGACTAGAGCCTCTCTTGCAAGCAGCACGTTCTCACTGAGCCATGTCAGGCCTCTTGGTTGTTTCTGTCAGAACTAGCGACGTGGAAAAGGCAGAGAAGGGGCCTTGCCTCCTGGGCACAGAGGGGCTGCAGGAGCACCACAGCGTGCATCCCAGTACCCTCCCCCCATCACACCACCACAGAGCTGCTGGCAGCTCTGCTACTGGGATCCTCAGATTCATGTGTAGGGGGTTGGTGAAGGCCCCTAAAGGGTGTGTGCTGGCCAGGCAGAGCCGCAAGAAAAGCTCTCTCAGGCAGACACCCAGGGTTCTCTTAGTCAGACACCCAAGGCTCTCTCAGGCAGACACCCAGGGCTCTCTTAGGCAGACACCCGGACTCTCTCAGACACCCGGGATTCTCAGGCAGACAACCGGGGCTCTCTCAGACAGACACCCAGGGCTCTCAGGCAGACACCCAGGGCTCTCTCAGTCAGACACCCAAGGGTCTCTCAGTCAGACACCCGGGGCTCTCTCAGGCAGACACTCAAGGGTCTCTCAGTCAGACACCCGGGGCTCTCTTAGGCAGACACCCGGACTCTCTCAGACACCCGGGACTCTCAGGCAGACAACCGGGGCTCTCTTAGACAGACACCCAGGGCTCTCTTAGGCAGACACCCAGGGCTCTCTTAGGCAGACACCCGGACTCTCTCAGACACCCGGGACTCTCTTAGGCAGACACCCGGACTCTCTCAGACACCCGGAACTCTCTTAGGCAGACACCCGGACTCTCTCAGACACCCGGGATTCTCAGGCAGACAACCGGGGCTCTCTCAGACAGACACCCAGGGCTCTCAGGCAGACACCCAGGGTTCTCTCAGTCAGACACCTGGGGCTCTCTCAGGAAGACACCCGGGGCTCTCTCAGGCAGACACCCAAGGGTCTCTCAGTCAGACACCCGGGGCTCTCTTAGGCAGACACCCGGACTCTCTCAGACACCCGGGACTCTCAGGCAGACAACCGGGGCTCTCTTAGACAGACACCCAGGGCTCTCTCAGTCAGACACCTGGGGCTCTCTCAGTCTCTAGGGGCTCTCTCAGTCAG